GCTTATTTTCGGGCAATGGATGGTTTGCCCAGGAAATAAATTTTTTTTTCAAATTTTTTTGGCTTTTTTTTGTTATTGGATCCAAAGATGCCCATGTATCACCGATATGGAAATGGAATCTGAAGATGAGTTATACATCATTTGATAGAGTATTAAATTCTCTACAAGTTGATGTATAACTCATGTCCGGGCAATGGATCGTGTGGTGCACAAATTGATTTTTTTTCAAAATTATGTGTTTTTATTTCGTCGTGCTAGCTTCACACTGATTTATTTTGTATTGGTTGCTAAGTGCTGCCATTATGGTTGCGCAAACCCTCAAAAGCCTGTTTTTTATTATTGTAATTTTTTCATTGGTTGATTTTCATATCCAATGAAATTTTTTTCTTTGTCGTGCTAGCTCGTCGCGTCGTGCTAGCTTCACATCGATCTACATAACTATGGCTACAAACGATGATTACGAAGAAAATCTACAAATATTAGTAAAAAAGCAACTTGAAGAGCAAGAAAAAATGGAACAAAAACTCCAACAACTTCGGGATGAAATCGAAAAAATAAAACGTGAAGCTGAAGAAATAGAACTGACCAAGGAGAGTAAATATCAAAATAAAATCGAAAAAATGAAAAGTGAAGTTTGGGATATAAACCAAATCCAAGTAGCAATAGATAAACATAAAATCAACAAAAGGATACGTGAACTTGCCGTATTAATGAAAATCGAAAAAACAAAAGAACAAATCGGACCAGTAAAACAACAACTCTTAGAAACAGAAAAACGATTCAACGAAATCAAACTTCGGGAAATAAATGAAAGTATCGAAAGAAAACGACGAATAACAGAAGAGGAAGACGTTTCATCAACTGGAAAACGTCGTCGTGTATTTACATCTTATTATAATTTTTACGACATCGATGTAATCGATAATTTATATTCGTTCGATATTAATAAAGTATTACAGCACAATGATTATTTTAATGATAATATATTAAATTATATTGAATATTATTCAAATCAATTTTCATCATATTCTAAATTAAACGAAAAAAGAAATTCGTGAAGAATTTGATCATTTAATTTTTAATTTATTAAATACATCGAATAATAATACATCACTGAAATATTTAAATACATCTTCTTCATATTATTTAGAAGATAAGTTTAATCCTGATTGTACATTTATATATAAAAATATAAATATCAAAATTAATAAAGAAGATTCATTTTTACAAGATTTTATTGTTTGTATTGGTAATTTAAAATCTCCAAATATTTCTTTATCAGAAGATTCAATAATTGAAGAAATATTACATTATTTGAAAATTATATTGACAATTCAACATCGTGAAATCATACATGGTTTTCTAAGTAATTATACACATATCAAATTTTTTCGTGTACACAAGGATGATTATTCGAATTCATATGAATATTTTCAAAGTCAAGAATTCGAAATGTTTAACTATTTGTCTGAAACATTATCGTCTATTGATACGTCAGTAATAACTGAAAATAAAAGAAAATTAGGTGTTAATAAAGATACATGGAAAATGTTTATAAAGTTTTTAATGGTTTTTGGCTATTATGATTATGAAGGATTAGAAATAGAACCTAATGATGATTTACTTGGTGATCGATATATGTTAACAAAAAAATTAGTAAATGGTTACAATACAATGTCTTATTTATTAGAAAAAAATCAAGATAATCATTCAACTGAAGATTCTTCACATTATGTAATGAAAATATTAGAAACAAATGGAGATTCAGAACTTTTATTAAATGAAGTTAAAATAACAAAAATATTAAAAAGATTTAATAATTCAAACAAATTTCATTTATTTTTTCAAAATATTATTGATCGACCATCATCTTCAAGTAAGACATTTGTCTATTGATTTTTTGTGATTAGATGATCTATTTGAATTTCCAAAAAGCTTTTTTGAGTTTTCACTATTATGTTCTACCTAGTAGAGATCGAGAGACAAGAGATAGTGAAGGTCTAGCTCGTTCCACTTATATCAACAAAAATACGATATGACTCCTTTCTCCATATCCAATGTAACAAAAACTATAAATATGAACAAATTTAATCTTATTGAAATACATGACATCATTTATATTCAGAAGTCATAGATAAATTACTATATCGATTATAAGTTAATTAAATGTTTGTCTTTTTCTCTGTACTAGCTTTAAAAAATAATATTTAAAAAAAATTGTCCTGTACGATGACAGGCTTTTTTTTGTTTTCAGTAAATTTTCTTCAGGAGTGATATTGAAAACAAATTAGACTTTACTTTTATTGCCGTCTTTTACTTTTTTCATATGATTTCTTATCATCTTTTTCTTTAACAATCAGACACATTGACAACCCTATTTAGATAAGAATATTGATATACATCAATAGGGTAAGTGTGTACAGTGTAGGTTTAATATAGTAGATATAAAGTTATCTGACTAAGGATATTAGTGTAAGACACTAAAGTTAAGAATATGGTGTATATATGCCTAAATCCTTGTGCATATATCTCTAGTCTTGCATATCTATATAGAAAAACATAGGATAAATAGAGAGAAGTAGACCTTCAAATGACTTACATTCATACTCTCAACATAAGATTAGTGTTGGAGAAAAAGTATCAAAAACTAAAATTAATCTTCTCAATTGGTTTTGTAAGTTTAAGTGTGAATTATGAAAAACTTCAAGTTTGGGAGCGATGAATTATCAATTTTTGATTTCAATGATTTTTCTATAAAAATTCAAACTTATAAGGATATTAAAAATTAGATCGATAAATCTTAAAACACTTAGAGTAAAAACAATCAAATCGAATGAAAATTTGATAGTTAATGAGAAAGATTTATTATTTGGAAAAATGCATTAAATATCAATCTGATACCAGAAAATTGTAATAAAGAAAAGATTTTTAATTCATCGATAGCAGAAGACTTAAATAATTGACAAGATTTATTTGGGTTTATTTCCAAATCTAAAATTGTAATTGAACAACTGTCTATGTTATTCGTTTGTAATTTAGATTAAATAGCTAATAAATATTATTAAAATACTGTCTCTAATTTGTTAATTTTTATTTTCAGTTAACCATTTATTATATGAAAAAGAATTACAATGTATAGAATCATTATCTTTAATACAAGCAAAACAATTTATTGATATAATTCATTATCTATATGACTGTCGTATTATTCATCGTGGTGTAACTCCAAAAAATTTAATGTTAGATCGTGATACTAATCATATAAAATTAATTGATTTTAGTTTTGCCATTCAATGTAATATGGCTAACAAAGGGGGCAGTATATATATATTAGGTCCATTTACATATACTAGTCAATCATTTTTAAATGCTTATTTAAAAGTTTTAACTGGAAACCGCTATAATGATTATTGTTATGAACCAACTTTTGATTTAATATCTGCATTAAATATTATAATGACGATGAATAATGTTGATATCAAACAAAGTATTGATTCAATTGATATATTAGAAGATGAAAAGGAACGTATATCACAATCATTACAATTATGGAAAGATATTCAACGTACAAATAAACATTATTCAAATTTATTGAATTTAATAAACAAGTTGGATATAGGGGATTCATTTTATAAATCAGATGAATTATCCGTTTCTGATATTTCAAAAGATGAATCAATTGAATCAGATCAATCTTCAATTTCCAATGTTTCAAAAAACCAATCAGATCCATCAGCAATTTTTGATGTTATAAAAGATGAAATAGAAAAACTTTTCGATATATGAATAATTATATTTATGTTTTTTTTTCCTATATCATATGTTCATATCATTCATTTAAAAGTTCACATAGCACTTCTCATTAATATTTTTCCATTCATTTCTTTTTTGTTGTTTGTTTATTATTTTGTTGTTTATTACGTTTAATCTTTATTCATACATAAACAATCATAGTCATAAAAGAAAATTATTTTTCATCTATTAAAATAATCTTTGAATTTTCTCGTTTAGAGATACGAAAGTTGTATTCTATAGATTTACATAATCAAAACTAATCTTTAGTTCAAAAAAGATTTTCGATTGAAAGAAAAATTTTCGTGAAAATTATAAAATGAATTTCTTTTGAATTAATATAAAATGCTTCGTTTTCAATCAAAATGATAATAAATACTAGTAAATTAAATTAAATTTTGATTACCCTAGTCAAAGGATGTTTTTCTTTATTAATATGGATGTGAGTGTGAGTGCGGTGAAGGGTATGAATCGACAGTAAGAATTTCAAGCTTCTCTTTCGATCCATCCTTAACTTGTCAACTTTTATTACCTACATAGTGATATAAAATCAAAGTTCGAATCTAAGACCGGATACACGTGAAGAAGCAAATCCATTTCTAACATTATTGACGTCATATAAATATATAATTAGATAATGTATCGATAGAAAAATTTCGCATTTAATGAGATTCCTTGGAAAGTGTTGTATTTTCGAAGAGACGATGTTCGATTGCTTTACAGATAGTAATAGTAAACCACAAATTATTTTTTCAATAGTTTCTCAAAAATCGGATTATTTAAAAGAGAGATTTACATTTACAAAAGTCTGAAGATTTCTAGAATTAAAAAAAAAAACGACTCGTCACATGTGCATTGGTTTCCAATTTCCGTAATCTCATTTTTACTGAAAAGATATTTTTTGAGAGTAATATTTATTTCTTTGAAAACTTAATACTGATAATCATACTGTGGAGCTCGTTCTTATCGATATGATCGAAGTAAATAATTTCTATATTAAAATTTCATGAATAAACTATGACTGTTAGCTTTCGGGTTAAGGGGACACGGTATTTTTTCTTGTGTCAAAAGATTTTGTTGTAGTTAGATTTTTTAAACATTGTCATTCTTAAAAAGAGCGAACTTAGGAATTATGGCATTTTCTATGATCTTCATTCAAAACATTAAAACAATCTTAAAAGTTATAAAGATACAAAATACCTAAAAAGTCAGCAACAAACTTTTCCTTGGCTTTTTATATATGCTTATTGTTAAGAATTAGCTTAAGGAAAGCTCAACTGGTCGTCCGATTGGCATTTCGACGTGTCGATTTCAGCGTTCGATGGACATCGAAATTCTAAATCGAGCCCTTGCATTATCACTTTCCGATAGGTCAAGGGCTCAACGATGGGTTATTTCTATAAGTGTTTCAGTAGCTCGATGTAGATTAGTATTAATTCAAAATGCATCGATGATAATGACTACTCCATCTATAGCTAGTATGGACTGATAACCATTTCACTCGTAACCGATATTTACTGTTACTCACTGGTCTTTTGGAAAAATAATGGTTTTTCTTATTAATTTTGATCAAAGATTTTTGAGATTGAAGAATCGAATACGACCATCAAACTTGGTGAAAACTGGTGAACGTCATCATATAACAATGAAATACTTACCGATGAAATGATTGCCAGTTCATACCAATTACTGATTTGGATCAATGAACTAGTGATTAATCGTTACAGTTGCATCTCTAATATTAATTAGTTCACTGCTAATTAAGTGTATGAAGAACAAATGGTACGCTCCTAATTCCTAATTGACCTGTCGAGCTCACTTTTTCGGATTCTTTCAAATAGTTTACTCTTTATATATATATATATATATGGTCGCGCTTGCACACATTAAATCTGCGTGTCAAATCTCATTGAATATCTGCTAGAATTCAACTATTGGATCTTTTGGCAATTTCGTTATCCGGTCACAACCGACAAAATTTTGACGGTTGAACGGATCTTACAGGATCTGATCGGATTAATTCTATAGGATTGATCAGAAAGAAGGAAGCCTGCTTTTATGTAATAGAATCATGCATGGATAACGTTTTCTAAACCTTGTTCCCTCAATTTTGCGCTAGGATGTGACAAATTCATCGTCTTTCTGTATGTCTACGCGCAAAATCGAAAAAAAAGTTGGATGCTATATATAAGAATAATCGAAATGACAAGTTGTTAAGAAGTATTAGAGTCAGCTAATATCAACTATCATTTTTGTGTGCTCTACTATATGTTGTCATTTTCTTGCTCTCCTGATGTCATAGGTATTCTCCTATTCTGTTATCTGTTCTTTCTTGAATCTAACGTATTGTTCAAAATCTATATATAGTTTCTTATTTGTACAATAAAATGTGTGAGTGTGTATATCCGATACAATTATCTTTGACTATTATTCAGTAGAAGCAATAAGTGTCTTAGAATGGATCAACTTCACAATATGCTATGTTATTATTTGATTAAACTAAACTGTTGAAAATAAAATCAATTATGAAAACTTTAATAAACGTAGGCTAAAAATGGAACTTACCAATTAGAGAAATGATTTGACAAAACTGTCAGCATTCATACCTTGTTTTTTTGACATATCTACAACAGACAACAAACATGATCACAGGATATGGTTACAACTATCTTAAAAAGGAACCCCATGTTTATAATAGATAATGAAAATAGAGAAATTGTGTGCAATCCTGAAAATTAATCATTTTGTCCCTTTGATTCTATATGATTAATAAAAAAAACATGTTTTTTCCTTTTGCACCTCACACTTAAGAGGTGTGGGTGTGGGTGTGGGTGTCATGATTTCGATGATCTCAGCAGCCACACCCACACCCTCACAGCCACAGCCACACTCACACCCACACCCACACCTACACCCTGCTGTTCACGATGAAATTATTCATAACTAATGATAAGATGGATGAGATTAATAGAAATGATAGAAAAATAATTGATGAGATTTATAACATATTCGAATTTGTTGTATATCTATGTTGATAATATTTGCTCATATATTTTGATGATTAAAACATTAAATGTTCGTATTCTATTTTGAAATCGAAAGAAAATAGAAGAATTGATAAAATAGTCTACAGAAAGATTGTAAATGAGCATGAATCAACGAAATAAAACAAACAAGATAAATTTGTATTTCGATGCGAAATAATAAAAACGAATGCTATTATTCAATTTGTCAAAATGATGTATCTTTTTCTAATATTTATGAATGCAAAACAATATTTCACTCTAAAATATTTTACTAAACATCATTAACATCAAGATACTTGATTCAATCATATAATGATACTTTTCCGACAAAATGAATATTTGTTCATCAATCTATTCGTTTAGAACGAGGATGTGAGTGTAGGGTGTGGGTGTAGATGAAGATAAAGACAAGACCCACTCCCATACCCACATAATTTTGTCCATCCAGTTATTGATTGACTATACTTTTCCATTTTATAGTCATTGTTATAGGAAATAAAAATTTTTTTTTTGTACAAACATTGGATCAACTGACATAATCATAATGATAATGGTAATGGCATTTGAGTTTAGATTTACGTTGATTAGTTCTATATCACGATGAATGTAATTATTAATATATAATAAAATAAACTATTTCGAATGGTTAATCTCAACGATAATTATCTTCTTTATTATTTACTTTTTCATAAACGAAATTTTTTAATCTAACAAATATGAACTTTCTTCTTTCAGATGATTTATCATTGAGATTAGAATTATTCAGACTCTTATCTTTTGCGGAGCAATGCTAGATTTCGATGATCAATAAATCATTCGATTTGAAATCTTGATTTTAATGTTTCATTCTTCTATCAAACAAATTTATTCAGAGCAAAAACAGCGAATTCACATATAGTCATATCTTAAGAACAGAAAATAAACATATATCTTTTTTTGTCTTCCTTTGATGATCATATTCGTCATATCGTTTTTAATGAAAACATTGATCCCTGAAGCGATGAATACGTCTTTTTTTTCTCGCTTGTAGGAAATAACTGTATACAAATGAAGAAAAACAAAATCCATCAGTTTAGAAAAGAAAGTAATATTATCACTGTATGTTCTTCATTAGCATGGTAAGCGTAATTTAATGATTTACTTTTGTCTTTACTAATAACCTTCAAATCATATCATCGTCAAATAATCTTATGTTAAATAACGAAGTAAAAGTAAACAGATAACTGCAACCTTGTTAGGTGTTTTCTTTACAATGAATTCTATGATAAAATTTTATTGATTGTGAAATTTGTTTGACAAAAATCGGTCCTATCTCATTCAGAATATGGAAATTAAGATTTGTATTGATATATTCACTATTGAACGAATAAAAGTAAAATTGTTCTGATTATTCTATATTATTGAAAACTTTACAATTAGAACTAGAAATATCAAATACATGACGGTGTGGGTGTGTGTGAATGTAGATGAGTTTGAGTCTTATTTTCCTTTACATCCATACCCTGAGCATCCATTCCCACCTGTCACCCTTTTTTAAAGAAGCATTTTGTTTTGACATCGGATACTCAATTTCAAATTATTGTCAAGTTATACTTTATTTTAGAAAAAATAATTTCCCATGTGAATGATAATAAGAAAAAAATCTATTCAATATAAATTGGATAACCTGCTGACAGAATCTTATCGTATCCTCCACCATGAAGTATTGGAAGAAGAACTACTTCTCCAACTTTGACACGAGTGATCACAAGCTCTTGTCTTTTATCAAAATTAGTCGAATTGAATACAAGTCGTTCTGGCGTCCATGTTGCACAATCCATACAGTTAAAAACACTTGATGGTTGCCACTCAATGATCACTGTGTCATTGTCATGAATTCGATGAGGTGGAGTACTGAGCCAAATTTCAACTATTGCACTTTTTTTCAATCCTATTGTTGATAACTGTGAATTGTATCGAATTCCTAAT